CAGCAGTTTAATTTTTAAGTATGATAATGATCCAAAACACATGCAGTAAAAGCATAGCTTGATAGAAAAGCACACAGTGAAGCACTATTAGTCATGGAGTGGCCTCCCCAGAGCCCGGACCACAACATTATTGAAGCAATGTGGGATCAACGGCAAAAGGTAGAAACATCCAAAGAAGAGCTTTGAATGTCCTCCAAGAAGCCTGGAGAACTATTCCTGAAGACTACTTAAAGAAACGACAAGAAAGCTGCCAAGAGAGTTCAGACTGTCCTGAAGAATACAGGTGGTCAAACCAAATACTGTAAAAACTGTAAAAAACTGTACTTCCACGTAGGTTTGCAGATGTTTCCAGGGTTTCCAGACCACTGCCTAGTTCTGCTGTTACAGGTAAAATGTATCTGTGCTGTGCAACATTAGGTTATGGCAGCAGTTTGAATGTTTTTTCACTAAGAACTTGTCACATACAGACTTGGGAAGGACCCCCCGGTGTTACATTTATATGCAATTAGGTAACGGTAATTTTTTAGCATGTAAAGCTCATGTCGTGAGGGTTTATATTATAAGTAAATCCATCTCCTTTTCCCAACTAAGCTGCTTTAATGCCAAAATCTAACGACGGAATTAAAGGGGAAAGAAAAAAGGTAGCGAACAGGAAAGAAATCCGGGAGTAATAACAGAGCTAAACAGACTGCAAAATGCCAGACTCTCAGACAGGACATGACACATACTTTGTTGGTCTGTACTGTTTTCTTTTTGCGTGTACTACTGCTGCGGCTCGTGTATTAAGACGTTGACGCCAAAGGACACATTTACGTATATCGTCGACGTCAGTGGCATCTGATAGATGAGAATGGATTGCCAGTGCAGACATGGACTGAAAGAAAACCGATAAAATATATCACACAGAATTAAAGCGTATTAAAGAGTATGAATAGCTATCAGGCAAAAGTGTAATTATATTTGATTTGGACAACACAGAAATGAATATTTTACAGTATAAATCAATGGCAGAGCAGCATGCCGTTATCTGTTAATTTCTTGCTGTTTTAACTTTTTTATTTTTATTTTACAAGGTTTTTTTGTTTACTTTTGGCTTTCATAGTATCTTCTGCTCTCACTCATTCTCCCTCTTCTCGATCTCGTCTCTGGCAGAGCTGTCCAGAGCAGAACAAAGGCCTGTGCTGACACCACATTAACACAGTCCAGAGCTCCTGTCATTCTCTCAGGCTACAGAAGAGTCTGATAAGCCAGAATGTGTGACAGGAGGAAAACATGTTACCCCCTCTGGACTCGTCTCAGCCCCTTACTACATTTATCCGCTTCCCCATTCCTCTGGTGATCCTCGGTGATACTGTCCCTGAAGCATTGGGATTGGTATTTGAGCAGAGAGACAACAATGTCCTATTTGGCCTGTCGGACTAAACCAAACTATGCAGGAACTGGCTTCATCATCTGTTTCTATCTGCTGAGATTCCAGTCATGTTTTGTGGAAGAGGCTGTTTCACTTGGCTGTCGACAGCTTCATAAACAACACTGCTGTGCGCTGGAGGGATTTGGATAGCGTTTCCAATAGAGCCCGTCAGCCAATGATAATAACAACCCACTGACAGGACCGAGCACGGCCATATTCTTTTCAGATGTGTCAAAGACTGTTAATGTTAATGTGAGAAAACAGAGTCTGAAAAAGCATAAAAATGTTTGCAAACTCGTGATGCAGACAACAAACCCAAGCCTGGCATCCAGCTCCGGCAGCGGTGCTGCAGTGTATACACTGCCACTCAAGAGACCTGGCACAGCTGACGCACACAATGTACCCACAATTCACACAACACCAACAGTTCAGCCAAAACCATTAAGGTTAAAGCAACAGAGTATTAAAGAAAAAAAAATGCTGGATTTTTCTAAGAACAGCAGGAGCTTGTCAAGTTTCCTCACATGTTACATGCTGCAAACTTAATTGGTGCTGGAGCCGCCGCTACACCAAAGAAGCCTTGTAAGAAATTAGAAAATATAAAACCTCCAATAAATGCAGGGTTCAAAAACATACGAGCCTCTTTCGCACCAGTTAACAAAAACCGAACACCGCTAATGTGCCTCGGCGTGCAGTGACACATGCTTCTGCGGGTACACGTCAGCTCACAGACAATCAAGCGTCCACGACACATTAACTCACGCCTCCTCCTCCATGAGAGCGCATTACACAAGCGGGTCAGAGACAGACGGAGGAAGCGGTCCCGAGTTGCGGTTTCAGCGCCTCGCTGTGTCCTTCCTTCCTCGCGCCGGCTGAGCCAACTCTAAAGTCGGCTCCCTGCTATTAATTAAAGCATTAAAAAGCATTAATAAGCAGAGTGGGGGGGCTCTAGTCTCGACAACATCTGATGAGAATTAGGGAGGCGTGTGTTTTGGCACGATGACCCCAATGCCCTTTACATTGGAATTCCTACTTACTCCCTGCAGCTCTCGCGTTCTCTTTCTGACGTTCTGAATTATTTAAACTTCTCTGTTACTGAAATTTCTCTCATTCCTCCTTCCCTGCGTGTTATCAAACGCTGGATTGAAAACATGTGGGTGAAGAGACCCAGAGGGCGAGCGCGACGGGGGATTACCGCCCGTCGTTTCCCATTATTAGAGGTGATTGTTATCCAGATTTCTGTTATTGTTACCTCTAGGCAGTGCACTCAGGGTCGACTTTCTTCTCGATCCCTCCCACCTGTCTTCCTCGCAAGCAGGGAGAGCTGCCTCAGTAACAGAGCTTTAACAAAACCACTGCGTCTTTTAGCCGCTCTCCAACAATTACAGTCCAACAGGCCCCCTGTGAATCTGACGATTGCACGTTTGGTAACAAAAAAAATAATTATGTATCAACCCCTAACCTCATGCAGTGACAGCATGTAACACTACACAGTGTAACTGGAGATTTAACAGAGCAGAGACGGACATATGGAAGACAAATTAATGTGTCATTACACAAGCCGCTGGCCAGTGTTTTAACATGATTGTCTGCAGCGTGTTAGGCCGAAAATTAATGAACTGCCACAAAGTTTTTACCAATTCTGCAGTCGGGCTTGTTCCAAGAATTAAAAGCTGATTTAACACATGCAGAACTGCTGCCTCAACATTTCTGTTCAGCAAGGATATATTCATTATTTATGTCTGGGAACTGTTAGACATGAATCTCTCTGATATCTTCAATTTCATAATCTAATCCGAGAGATGATTTCAAATGTTTCTGATCGTAAGAGTCTCTTATCTTAACAAAGATCTACACACAATACGCAGAATCTGTAAGCAAGACTTTGTGATTTTGACCTCTAATCCAACTTCTGTTAACTAATCACGGTTGAGCAAAAAGTCCATGTGGAAAAAAAAGAGAATGTAAACAATGACCAGAGCAACAAACGTGAAGTTTTGAACTGGACTAATGATATCAGCTAACTGGATATCTGTTGCGTTTAGTGGAAGCCTAAAAAATCTGCCCTTTCCCCAGAAGTTAAGTCAGCAGAAAAGTTGATTGATTCCCAGATTCTCCTCAAACAGTCCTTCCAAACATGAGTCTTTCCACTCTTTGCCCATCTTTATTTAGACATTTTGAGTTAACTTTAATATTAACCATCTACAGAACCTAAAACTGACCAAGTCTGCAGAAAAAAATGTGTCCAATTTGTCCAAAATAATGCTTTAAGACATTTTTTTTCACACTACAACCATCTTTACTCCCATGTTTAGGATTCTTTAACTATAGTCTGAAAACCCAAAAGAGGAATATTAAACATGCCTCCTTTGTTTTCTGTTCTTTGGAGATTAACACAACATGGGGTGGATTAAATCATATTACGTCAAAAAAAACATACTCAGAGATTGGAAATTCAGCTCTAAGAAATTCCAGGAAAGGTGATAGGAAAGGTAAATGTTTGTGTTCAGCAGAACAAAAGACAAAAAGAGAAAGCTCTCCAACATCACCACTTCAGCTGTGCACTTTAACCCGTCTGCAGCTGGTCTTCGACACAAACAGTTCTTACATTATTACAGCTTTTAATGAAACATGTAGCTTATGGATTTTATGGATCACAGCCCAAGAGATGAATCAATGTGTGCTTGCACCTCATTAATATATGCCTGGACATGTTTATGTCTGCATCACACAAACACATTACAGCAACTTTCACCGATGCTCTCATCTAAAAAGACAAATAACAGATCCCAGAGGCCTGACTTTCTACTAACTAGTAGTAAGAAACTTGAGGGTAAAAGGCAGAGCACTCTGGCAACGAATGACACAGATTCTTTTTTGTCCTCAAATGGACAAGCACAAAACATACGTATAAGTTGGAGCAGTAAGAGTCACAGAAAAAAAGCAGTTCATTTTAAAAAGACAGCAGCGTATCTGGTGCATGTAAAGAGTAAAGAAAACCTTGGACGAGGTGTGATTAAAGGTGGAAAGTGAAGGTGGGAGCAGGACTCCCCTTCTGGGAGTGTAGGAGTCAAAGGTGAGTGAAGGATAATTGGGGTCCTGAGAACACACAAACATTACTAACAGTTCTCCACCGCTATATCACATAAACTAGGTTTGGTGATAGCGATCTGTCTTGCGGAAAGCTTACACTGCGTTAAGTAGACAGGCTGCTTATTTAACATCCACCCCCGGAGAGCTCAGGAGCAACCTGAGGCTGCGATCGTAATGTGGTGGGGGTAAGAAACCAAAAAGGAGCTCCACATGTCAATTTCGAAAGCAGGGAGGATTCGTTTTACTAGCGAAAAGCTTTGAACTTTGATCTTAGGTGTTAACATAACACATGAGGTGTTCTTTCACAATGTGAACAACATAATCTGTGCACAAATTGCTCTGCGTAAAAACCCAGCTGCGTAGGTCACAAGCAGTTTATCTCACATCTGCTACATGTGACATTTTTAAGAGGGATCAGTCAGCATTAGTGTCTCGGGCCTTACAGAAAATTCATAGATCATCACAGCCAATATTAAGCAGATATAATCTGCCCTACCTGTGCACTCGTGCTGCAGACCCTTGCCGTAGTATCCCTTCTCACAGATGCAGTCGTACTGCCCGGTGTGTGTGCCGCACTTGCAGCTGGCCATCAGGTCGCAGCAATCCTTGCCTGCTTCACACAAAGAAGCGCAGCGTGACAGATCCTCCTGGATGTAGCTGCCCGTAGGGAGGTCTTAGGGAAGCAAGCAAGCGCAGAGAAGCACAGGTTTCAATTACACCGCCTGAGAATAAGACATTTTCAAGTGTCGAGTTAAATGCTGGGTAAAACACCACCATTAAGGAAGTCTGACGGGGCGATTGGTGCAGACGACCAAAATATGTGAAAAATGGGGAATCTTCTGGCACCATTTAACCTTCAGCAACTTTATTTTTGTATGAAGTCGTAAAGAAAAACACACTCTTCAACAACTGCAAGATGAAACAAAGCTTTGCTTTATTTTTTTGTTCTTGTGTGTGCTACAACACATCTGTCAGACAGAGACAAACAGACATCTTAACCACAGAAATGCAGACAGAATGAATCAAAACAGGCACCACTTGTGAGCCACAAAGGTACAACCGACTTTTAAAGCCTGCCAAATCATCTTTCTTGCATAAACTCCACTAGAGCTCGCAAAGGAAAGCCCAAAATGAAATGGGAGCCGCGGCATTACTGCCTGAGCCAAGGGGGAAAACTGTCTTTGATGGTGTAACCAAGGCTAAATGTCAAATTTAATTTTACTTCTAGAAATTAACCTGCCGCCTTATTTGTTTTGTTTTTATTGCAACTGCTGGATGGCTGACAGAGCCACAGGGCCATGTGAAACCTGTCTTTGTGCTTTGAGACTGCTGTTGGCAGAGGGGCCAGACTTCAAGACAGAGGGTGAGAGACAGACCGGAGGCTGAGCTGATAGTACGGTGTGGGTTGGCTTTCATTCTCGTAGCCTTATCCCGTCTCACCAGCGCTTCTACTACTGCAGCCTCATCTGGAATTTCAGCCACTGTGTATGCGGACGTGGTCGCTCAGAGCCCGCGTAAGCATGTGCGTGATTTACAGCTCGCTCTGCACTCAGCGCTGCACTCGTCTGTGATATTTTATGGTGAGATTTTAAGTTTTAAAACCGTGACTGGATCCCTATTTTCACTGAAGAGTGGGGAAATTCCCTTCAAGTGTGGGAAAAAGAGCGTTGCTGCGTCTAATCTGCTTAGAAGTGAGGGCTAATGGCTGCTGGCAGCACAAAACAGAAGTTATCATGTGAAATGCATGTTGTCAGATTTAATGTAAAATATTATCCTCTTACTTTGAAAGAAGCACAGAAACTCAACGGGGTGAAAGCACTAGTACAGAAATATTGCTACGGGTCAAATGGTGATATTGGATGCGCTCAGGCTTCAAAGAAGCTGGCGTACCCTGAACTTTTATTATTAAGAATAACATCAAGCATGATGTAACTCGCCCCTGGAGAACCAAACGGGTTAAGTGGGAAAGAGGAGAGATTTGATACATGTTTAACTAAAGCTTTGACATGAGATCGCAGATGTTTCTTTTAATAATCACTGGAAATCTGGAACCTTTCTCTGTCACTCCTTACCTTCATGCAGAGCTCGACGAGCCAGGGCCTCAAACTCGGCAAAGTTGTGCACCAGGTAGCAGTGCTGATCTTTGGGCTGAGAGGCCATGTCATGGAGCTCCCTGATGTTACCCTGCCAGATGCCCAAAGTGAAGATCTCAACACCGCGTTCTCTCAGAGCCGCCGCCACAGGCCGAGGGTCTCCGCCGTTAGAGTAGCCGTCAGTGATGAGGAAAATCACCTTGGTGGCATTACTGCGGGAGTGACGAAGGATTTGCTGTTGGAGAAAAAGACATAGATCACATGAATAAATAAAGTTGAACTTAGCTCAATATTCTTTTTAAAGAATCAGTAAAGCTGCTCAGTAAAAGTCCAAAAGAACAAAAGTGCACACATAAGGGCGTTACACTGATCAGCTAAAACATTAACTGACAAGCCAGTAAAATCTAGTGCTCCACTGGGACGCATTTGGTCCTGGCATTCATGTGGATGTTAATTTGACACAAACAGCCACGTCAGTGTCATTCACTGACAGCGGGCCCTCCCAGATGGACAACGCATCCTGCAAATTGTTTACAAATGATTCAAGGAACATAATAAAAAGTTTATTGTGTTGATCCGCCCTGCTAATTGCCACAATCCCAAACTGATCACGCATCAACAAGCCGGAAGCCACAAGACCAAAACGATGCCATTGCAAACCAACATAGATCACCTACAGAGCTCCGATGTCCAAGCAGACATGCACAGATACTTTATTAGGTACACCTTACTAGTATGGGGTTGGACCCCCTTTTTTATTTGCCTCGAGACTGCTGCAAGATTTTGGTCCATTCAGAGATTTTGGTCCATTTTAACAGCATCACACATAGGGGTGGGCGGTATAAACGGTATATGGCCAACGGTAGAGATTTTTACTATACCGCTCTACCGCGATACAGTGTTGCCAACTTAGCGACTTTGTCGCTATATTTAGCGAGTTTTCAGACCCCCTAGCGACTTTTTTTCTAAAAAAAAAAGTCGCTAAAAAAGACGTGAAAGACATTATAAAAAACAATAATTGCTAAAAGAAATTTAATTTGTAGTTCTAAATAAATTCTAAATGCATTTAGGACGTTTTTTGCTCACTTTATGTCTCGTCCACGATGTTATTTCTCTCTCCAGCAGCATAGGTTACAATTACATTAGCATGACCAATTATGCAAATTAGGTGATGACGTCATTTAGCGACTTCTAGCGACTTTTAGGACAACCAATAGCGATTTTCCTTACTGAGGAGTTGGCAACACTGCCGCGATAGCGCATGTTGATGGTGTCATCATCAAGCTGTGCCTGTTTTGGTCGAAAGCATTGCAGCAGCTGCAAACAACATCATCTGCAACAGTAATAGTAAAGAGACAAAGCACTTTTGGAATATGAGGAAAGCCAAAAACTGTGCTTCCTCTACTTCCCTACCATTGATTCATTAATGCCGAATTCTCTCGCAGCTGCTCTATTCCCATGTTGTTGCAGTATATTAATGACTAACCTTGTATTATGGATGGATTATATCAGTTGTTCTCCTGACTGAAGTTTGGTCCTCGTATAGCATCCTGCTATGCAATTGCATTTGTCCCTAACCACCAGAAACCCTCACGTTAACTTTTATCAGTGGAAAAAAGTTAGCTTTCATCCTTCAGCTTCACTGTGCTAATGTTATGCTAACGTAGCTGTTTTGCTAGCGATCACGTAGCACATCATTATAAACCAGCTAGGCCAACTTCAGTAACCCTACAAACGTCACTGCTTAGTTTTCTGTCTTCATTTATGTTGTAAGTGATACCAGAGCTGTACTTTTTAATTTTTTCAGATATCTCCCAGTCAGAACATGCTATATCATGTTTAGGTGGAAAGCTAACTTCCTGCTAACTTCTAACTCCGTTGAATTTAATAAATTCTGTTTTCATGGATGCCTGGATGTTAAACTTAATTGTCACACCCGGTAAAGCAGCAACCCTGATCATTAAAGATGAAAGAATTTAGACAGTTTTGGATTCTCAGTGATGCCGCAATGTTCGTTTGACTGGGACCTGAAGCCAATGGAGTTTTGGACCCAGATTACTCAGCGAGGCTCCTGACTACGGCAGCCGTAATGCTTCCCTAATCCATCAAGCAGTGCAGCTTCATAGCTTACCAAAGTCGTACTAAAACATTTTTGACAGATTTTTGAGTGCCGTGTACCACATAAAATCTGTTTGATTTCAGTAAGCACAACCAGAATTCATACATAAGGCACACTGTCGATTTTTGTGAAAATTAAAGGATTTTAAGTGTGCATTATAGTGTGTAAAATACTCATACAGAAGAAAAGAATATATCGCAAAATATATATCGTTACAGCACATGCTTCAAATTATACCGTGATATGGATTTTAGGCCATATTGCCCAGCCCTAATCACACAGTTGCTGCAGATCTCTCTGCTGAACATCCGTGATGCAAATCTCCCCTTCCACCAAAGCCCAAAGATGCTCTGTTGAACTGAGATCTGGTAACTGGACGACAGTGAACTCACTGCCTTCCCGGTGTTTTTCTGTCCAGTTTTAACGAACCTTTGCAAGTCGTTTTCTGTTTTCTGTTCCGACCTGACAGGAGTGGCACTGGGGTGGGCTTTAAGGTTTGACATGTTGTGTGTTCAGAGATTATGCATAACTTGGCTCTAACAAATAGTTATTTAAGTTACTGTTGCCTTCCTATCAGCTCGAAGCAGTCTTGTCAGGGTCCTGGGTTTTTGACTGAAGTGTTTTGAGTTTCCTGTGCTTTTTGTCACTTTGTATTATAAATTATATTCTCATTGTTGGTCTTTAGTTACTCCCTTAAGTCTAGTTTCTTGTATTCCGTGCCTAGTATTTCCCTCTGTGTATTATTTATCATCTCAAGCCTCTTGGTTCTTTCAGTTCTATGCCTTATGGTTATGTCTCTGTGTTTCTTAGTGTCTCTGTCTACACCGTGTCTAGTCCGCATCTCAGTGTTATACTTCCTGTTTTACTTTGAAGGTCTGTGTCTCATGTGAGTGTATCCTACTTTGCTTCCTTGTCTCATCAGTTCTGATTTCCCCCAGCTGTGCTCTCCTTCTGTGTCTCATTCCCTTGTTATTCCCCAGTGTATTCAAGCTCTGTGTTTCTCATCGTCCCTCATTGCTGTGTGTTACTCTCTCCCCGTATTTGCTTATGAACTTAGATTTCCCAGTGTAGTTTTGTTTTGTATGCTTTTCCCCTGCTAGCAAAAAAAGCTGAGTTTTTTGAGTTTAAACCTTGTGTCTGAGAGCCTGCATTTTGAGTCCAACTCCTGCCTGCCACACAGCGCTTCTTGACAAGTCTAGCCATTCCCCTCTGATATCTGACATCAACAAGGCATTTTCTCCCAGGAAACAGCTTTTCACTGGATATTTTCCATTCTCCAGACACATTATGATGCTCGGTTTGAACTTAGGCAGTCAGAGGTGTTTTGGCATTATGCTGTAGACCCCCAAAATGTGAGAGCTGTCAGCTGAGACTGGAGAAGTCACTTGGATGAGTGACGGAACGTTTCTTCCACTAAAAGCACTACGTCCAGATGAACAGAATCAACTTTTTGGAATTAGAGAGCTGTTGTTATCCAGTATATGTATCTCAACATATTTTTGGGACCGGAGGATTAACTTGCTCTGGTCTTGTAATGAGATGATAACTGTTCTCGGTCAATAGTCTGAAACATAGCTCCCATATGACACAGTTTTTATCAATGTAAATGAACGCTAGAGGTGGTAATAAGATACTTTTTTGCCTCTAGATAGAGCCAACAAAGTAGTCACCATTGAGATCTTAATGGTAAGCTAACCTACCAGAAGACGTGAGAGCAGTATCAGAGTTCTCATCTAACTCGCTCCAAGAAAGTAAATTTCCCAAGATGTCACACTTATAGTCCGAGAAGTTTAAGCTGACAAGTGACACAAACTTGAGCCGGACTTAATAGAGTCATGCTGTTACTGTACATGTTCACCATTCAAATACACACGTCCCACTCATTGCTGTGCATGCCAGCATGCGACCAATATAGCTGCAGCTCTTGTCACATGACTAAATTGAAAAACGAAGAACGTCACACAAGACCACTAACAACAGCCCTCAATACCAAGGTTCCTAAAAACCCTACATCAGCAGGACAGGCAATGAGAGCAGGATGGGGAGAAGGGACCAAAAAAAAAGGAGAAAGTCTACAATTGTAATTATTTCTCCTACAGACTATGCAGCTGCTTGCCAGTGGTCTAAAACCACCAGGGAACAGTGGGCAACACAGACCGAGTTGCTGTGTCCGCCCCAGACACCAGCTCCAGTTTACAAACTAACTTTAGCCACCGTTTACAATCCAGCACATGCAATTAGACAGGACATTAAAGTTAGAGAAACATATCTTTATTTTCTCGAGAGCACAGAACAAAAATCCAACACTTTGCTGTGGAGGCCAAGCTCAAAGTGTCTTGTTATGTTTTAAGTGGAGGTTGGATAAAAAGAAAAAGCAGTCGGAACAACAAGGTAGAGAAGAACCAACGAATAAAAGAAGCACAACGAGCCAAGATGAAGTCAGAAGGACAGATATCCACTTACACACTTACGCAAAGGCAAAAAGGGCATATCATAAAGATTTTTTTAAGACGAAGATGGAAAGGAAACAAAGAAAAGCGTGTTAAGAGGATATTCTTCTGTATCCCGAATCCAAACAGAACATGAGATCTAAACATGACAGATTGTAAAATACGAGAGGTGAAGAGAGACGAGACACGCAAGGGTGTGACCGCCGAGGAGCAGGAGAGTAAGCTCTGCTCTTTATTGTCTAATTGGCTCAACTTCAAGCAGCTCTGGCAGGAGCAAAGTAATTACAGAGCCCGTGGAGCTAAAGGGGAAGAAAAGGAAGATGGAGAGAGAATAGATGAGAGAGAGAGAGAGGTTACGTTCTCTGATTCTCAAAAATCCAGCTGCTTGCTCTGGTTCTCAGTCCGGAGAGGCCGGCTACGCCCACTCCCAGCTGTCAGTGCACACTGGCAAGCCCGTCACCC